GACTACCTTCATGTTCTAGAAATAAGTGAATGTTATTTGATAATTATGGAAACACCAAGAAAACCTAAGTATTATATCCCCCAAGTACATTGGTCATGTTGGAGACTATTGCAATACATAAATAAAACAAATACCATCGGAATAGGTACAATTCCTCAAGATCCATTCAAAGATGGTTTTGAAGATGATCAGTTCGACTAGTATTGTCAGTATTAAAATGCGAATATTCTTGAAGTGCATCGATTTGAATGGTTATAGGTATAGCAGTGTTGTGATTTGTTTAGTTCGAGTTAACCCGATATCCTGATAAATCGACGTGAATCTTGAATACCGTAAATCATGGTTTTGAAGATGATCAATTTGACTAGTATTGTTTGTTTAGATCTGTTATTAAACCCCTTTTTAGTAGGGATCCCATTTTTTTAAATCTAATCAACTTACAGAAGCTTGTATTCTTCTGCTTGATAATTACTACATGCCTCCAAAAAATAACTGAATTTTCTAGTGTGTTCCCTATGTACTATATGATTGTTTTATCTGTCTTGGAATGTGATTTACCGAAGTTACGGATTTACTAAGTCTTTAACTGATCAAAATTTTGAATTATTGATTTATTGTTTGTGAACTATGGCTACATGATATATACTCTTTAATTCAGTTATATACATATCATTTCCAGTAATTTAATTATGAGTTGATTATTCCAAAATCACAAATTCTAAATTTGTTATCGCCTCAAGAATTAAAATCGATAAACAGGATATGAACAAACTGAGTATTTATCTAGTGAATAAATAGTCTATCAGATCAAGGATGACTTTATAGGGTTATTTTAGTTATTATTGATCTTGAGGATAAGGAACCGATTTTAATGTCTTCAAACAGATTTACAGGTCTTCCAAACGATTCAGGAGTTTAGTCATTGGATATGTAGTTCTATCAGGTCAAGAACGAATCATCAGATTAATTCTATTATTCGGGTCAATTTTGTTATCTTTTTTACTTCATAAGGGTATTTTCGTAATTTTCTCTCCAAATATTTTCGACATCAAAATAGTTAACGATAATATTCAAATTTTAAGGATTCTAAGATTAATTCCTTTGTGCAATTCAATCGAGTCTTAAACAATTTATCACTTAAATCGTATTCAGTTTGAGTTCATTCATAACCAAACATGCATAATAGACCAATCATAAGCATACATGCATTTATCCAGTATCAACATGTTCTATAAAGCATGCAAAGAGGTAGTAAAGTATTACCTCAATCTAAACTCTATTTGATCTCCCTCGAACATTAATTCCACATCCCATAATGCCTCAGATACATGGCAAGACCAATTACATTAGAAACAAAACTTAAACATGAAAATTTGTATTGAATCGGGAGATAAAATACCGAAAAAAGCTTACAGAGTTTGAATTTGGCAAAACGGACTTCAGATTCAGACTCAAAATGTTGAAAAACATAAAATAAGATTTTTCAAAAATTTTGACTTTTTGGTCAAAGTCAAAGGTAACACCCATCTCTCGTATACCTTACCGTACACGAGATACAAATGTCACATCACTTTTAAAGTATTTTCCCATTTGAAAACCAGTAAAATTTTGTTTCTTTTTGTAAAACATTTCAATTTTAGTAATAATAAAATATTCATTAAACTTATTTAAGTAAAAAAAAGTAATGTTTAAATATTTCATCATTTTACATCAGAGTAAATCAAATACTTTTCAGAGTGTTTTGACTAAATCTATTACATGCCAACAAATTACATCAAAATAGACATGGATGTCATACTGTTACTGACGAGGCAACCCTTTCTTTGATGTCCGATGATCCCCTTACTCCGCTTAAGTTAAAACATACGCGTGAAATTAACACACGCTAAGAAAATTCTTAGTGAGGCATAAATAATCATAAGCAAAATTCTACGTACAAGTATATTGTGACAATTCTAATATCCATTACTTCTTTCAATTCATTATGCATTCAATAGTATACTTTTGTAATACTAATACAGTCATTTCTCGACCATTACTCTAGTGTATGTGGGTTGTACACCCACTACCAATATGAAACTTTATACACTTAGTATGAATTTCCTAGTTTTTCACATAAAGTGCCCATACAGAAATTCATCCACTTAGTATGAATTCCATAAGTTTACACATAAAGTGTCATACGGAAATTCATCCACTTAGTATGAATTTCTTACATTTGCACATAAAGTGTCCATACGAAAATTCATCCACTTAGTATGAATTTCTTAAGTTTACACATAAAGTGCCCATACGGAAATTCATCCACTTAGTATGAATTTATTAAGTTTACACATACAATGCCCATACGAAAATTCATCCACTTAGTATGAAATTCTTAAGTTTACATATAAAGTGCCCATACAGAAATTCATCCACTTAGTATGAATTTCTTAAGTTTACATATAAAGTGCCCATACGGAAATTCATCAACTTAGTATGAATTTCTTAAGTTTACATATAAAGTGCCCATACGAAAACTCATCCATTTAGTATGAATTTTTTAACTTTTTGCACACTTAGTGCCATTTGGTAATCACCATAAATATATCAATCAATCATACATCTATGACTATCGTAACATATACATACATAATTAAATGCACTCACCTGGCTTGCCTTCGCTTTTATATCCAAAACGCAAAATTGATTACTCCGGAACTTTGCCTTTGCCTTTTGCTTTGCTTGACTCAGGAGCTTGATTTCGATCTAGTCAATATCTATTAAATACATGTTCAATATCAATTGTTAATATATTTCCTAACAATTACACTTAAACATTACTCAAGAGTACCTATTAGTAACTTTTCTATAACAATATCAGTCAATCTTACAATTTCTGGTTCCTCAGTATTGATACCCCTACCATGGTATCGATACTACTATACTATGGTACTGATATCTATTATGGTATCGATATCATTTTTGCATTCTGTTTTTAATGGTATTGATACCTTCCTTTCGGTATTGTTGAGTTAATCGATCGACGAATCGGCCAAGAGGGGGGTGAATTGGTAATAAAAATTTTGGTGGAAGCTTTTGCAGAAAATTGAAAATATTTGTACAGCGATTTAGAGTGGTTCGACTTTCTCAACCAAAGTTTACGTCCACTACCTTAGCTATCCACACTAAGGATTTTCCAACAAATTCACTAATTTGTTCTTTCTTTTGAGGACAAAGAGTAACCTTACAACTCCCTCAAGAATTATACCCCAAATTCTTGAGAACACTCTCTCCCAAAGAGAAGATTACAAATTTCGCAAACTTATAGAAAAACCTCACTAGGCAATATGTTTGCACAATTCTAGAACAAAGAAATAACACTAAAAAATAATACAATTGAGTACAAGGGTGTTCTTGAAAGTAAAATGAATATTGAATGGAAAATACTTGAAATTGCACAAACTTGATGTTTAAGGCTTTCTCTTTGTTTCTCTCACAATTTTTGTTTCTTGTTTTTTATCAATGGCTCTTGAGCTTGTTTAAATACACCTTCAATCACTTCTGAACGTTAGGGATCATTGGTGAAGTTAATAGATCCGTTATTGTGTAATTATCATTTAAAAATCTGGTTGGGAGTGTAGGTGCATCAGTACACTTCAAGGGTGCATCGGTACACTTCAAGGGTTCAAGGGTGCATCGTTACACTTCAAGGGTGCATCGGTACACTATGTGTAAAATTCAAATATTTCGACCGTTATAAGACCTAGTGCATCGGTACACTAATTACATTCGATGTTTCAAAAGAGTCAGGAGTGTATCGATGCATGGTTTGTGCATCGGTACAAAAAATGCATTCGAAATAGGGTGTGTATCGATACATTCAGTAGTGCATCAGTACATCCCTTTATAAAATTGTTTTTTTGCTTGATTTTGGTTCGAAATACTTTTTAAAAATTGTTTCAAAAAATATTTTAAGTTTAAAACACAATTTTACACTTTAGTAAGGATTTAAATTGATCTTTGAAAAACTTGGAGTAATATTTTGATATTCGATTCATTTAATCGAATATACTTTAAAAATGATTATAAAATCTTAAAATTCAATAACACTTAATTTGTTATATCGAAACATCAAAATATTTTCAACAATCTCCCCCTTTTTGATATAACAAAACTTTTGAGTAATTTTAAGATTTTCTTTGAAAATCATTTTTGAAATCAATTTTGAAAATTACTCCCCCTTACTATATTCCCCCTTACTATATTCTCCCCCTTACTATATTCTCCCCCTTTTTGTTAAATCAAAAAGACTCTAAAAACGTTTTTTTAAACAAGGTTTTGAAAATTTTAGCCAACTGATATTTAGATAAAGCTTAAGCTGCTAAGATCACAATCAAGAGAATGATTAGCCATTAGTTCCATAAATCAATATTCATAAAAAATGTGCAATGGTAATTGGTCATATGTCAACTAATATGTAAATCACTAATAGAAAAAAACCCTTTAATGACGCGCATTGCGCGTCATCTATGGGTGCAGATGACACACAAATTCGCGTCATTGAAGCCACCGACATAAATATCAGATGACGTGCAATTGTGTGTCATAAATTTATGACGCGCATTTATGACACGCATTTATGACTCACTTTTTTGACGCGCATTGAGCGTCATTGAAGCCTCCGTCATAAATGAAGATGACACACATTTGTGTGTCATAAATTTATGACACGTATCTATGACTTACATTGCATGTCATTGAAGCACACGTCATTAAAAAAGATGACACACATTCGCGTGTCGTGATTATATTTAAATATATATATATATATATATATATATATATATATATATATATATATATATATATATATATATATATATATATATATATGATATATATATATATATTGACAAATAATCAAACTTAATCACATTTAATGCCTCATAATACTAAATATATATATCATATTATATATAAGCAATCCATTTGCATACAATATATTCACATTCGAGGTCTGGAGTTTCAAGTAGAGATCTTGAGCTTTTACAGTTCATATTGGCTTAATTGTCCCCCTAAGTGGGGTTGTTGTAATAGGTAAGCATGACCCAGATACAGAAGATGACAAGAAATGTATGAAAAGATAAAATCTAAACAATACAACAAGATGTTTGGATTTTGCAATGATATCTTACATTAGTTGTGATCTCTAGATGACGCCAAAGCTCTTCATCATGTTCTTTCAAAAATTGTGACAACCGGGTAATTGTGGAACGAATTCCAACATTGCTGTTGTTAAGTTGCTTGTAGAAATTATCTTGGAATCCACTCAGCAACTCAACAAAACAAAAGAATGAGTCAGCTTCAGCAGCGGCCTACAAGAGTTTAATACAGAAATGTATGCATCAGTTTTAGAGCATATAAAAATGTCTGGCTTGTATGCATCAGTTTGTTACTCAAGACTAAAATATAATGTCATGTCACATGCGAATATGTATCTGAAATGGGTATGTTAAATTAAAAAAAATCAAGAAGTATTTGGATACACCTTGTAGGGTGATATCTCCTAAGTTCAAACCCATGTCTCTATATGCGTTAAGTATAGGTGTTTCTAGAAGAATAAAGAGTTTAAGAAAGTGTCAACTAAGTAAATGAAAATTTTCTTCATCATGTTGCTTGAGACAATAAAAAAGTGGGAGTTGGTGGCAATAGTGTTACAGATAGAAATGAACAAAGATAGGTTTGACTAGAACATCAAACGATAAACAAAATGTAAATCTCAACGCTGAAAAAAATGGAAGGTTCCGGAAGCAGAAAACACTTTTTTGGTTGCACCAACAAGTTTTGCGTGAAGAAAAAAATTAAAACAAATAATACATACTAGATATGAAAGACAATGAGATCTTTACCGCCATTTCTTCATCGGGATCATTTCTGAATACATAAAATAGAGGTGCCAAGATTTCATTCATCCCTTGAACATATATTATACCTGGATTTAACTTGGCAAATACAATTAATATGACCTTCAATACATCCTGAATGAGCAAGGTATAAGTCAGAAATAACTTTGTTTCTCATATCAAAACTTGAGTCCAAAGGGTTAAACAACAAAATCAAAAGAAAGAAAAAGCATACCCGGTTAGACTTTGCAAGCTGTGAGTTTCCGGAAAAGAAGTTCATGCCTGGATGAGTGCGTTTCACATCTTGATCAATTTGTTCTATAATTTCTGAGTCCTTGAAATACCACCAGCCCAAAAAAAAGTCAATTAATCTTTATCTAGAACTTAAAAGGATGACATTTGAAAAAAAAAATTGGCTCATCAACAACATGACTAACTTCGCAAGAAAACTAAACAAACAAATGGGGAAAAACCCTCTTCCTAAATGCTTGCTAAATCAGGAAAACTTTAAGGACTAGAGAATAAAATAAATGACATATTCAATTAATAATTGAAAAATCTGAACTCTCTGTCACTACTTTCATATATAAACTGGTATACAAATACAGTTGTAAACTAGTAATGCTCAGTTCATGTTCTCTCAACTAAGTATTGACCAAAAACTAGTATGTGTAGCTTGAATTGTTTTCCCCTCGTCCAACTTCTTGGATTTCTTACTATAATGCTATATAACACAGACAATTATAAATACCAAATATCAGGATCTAATAATAACAGAGATAATCAGATAACACATTATAAAACATATGATTATTCTTAGTAAATTTAAGCTAAAGATAATATACGGGATATATATTTTAATGCTAACAGTAGCACAATTGTGCAAGAAACTATTAAATCGTTGAATTATAATTCAGCATATTTTACATCAAAGTGTAATACCCTTTCAATGTTTTTTCACTTCTGTCCATATAGTTGTTATCCTTCTTTCTTTTTTCTATCCTTAACGTCAACTAAGCACTAGAAGTCAGGCTCCAACAAAAACGAATGAACTAAATTAATGGGAGGAAGCTCAACTTAGTGTTCACATTCTTTATTTAAAGCATTTAACATAAAAGAAAACACCACAGATACATTACAGTTCAATGCTTAGCTTAGCACTTAATTTTTCACTTTATCAAACTGCACCTAATACAACAATAAAACTCAGTGCAAAAACTTAAATTCAATAAAGTTTACAAGTTAACTTTTGCGTAACAATTTACTTTAAAAAGATAGGAATGAAGAGTAGTATAGAAAAATCCAATAAGAAGCCAAAAAAATAAACTTACACACCAAGCCAACTTGCGAATGCAATATATTGCAGCCTCTGAGCATGAACCAGTATCTCATTAGCTATATCATGATATATAATTGGGAAAATTGGCGGCCAATTTTTATCATCTGTGGAAACACCAGCTGATATTCTAAAAAAAAGGGAGCATTTAGCACTCTATAAAACACTTGAGAAGAAAGTAAAGGTAAACAGTTGCTTGTGCTCCAATTCTCTTACATTGGGAAACAACATCTTCCCTTCGTTTTATATCCTGAAAATAAAAATGACAAAATAGAGAAATACAAGTTAAATAGAAAGTCAAATCATAAGAACAATTAATTCAGAGCACGAGAAAAGAGGCATCACAGGATATAATCAAGTGAACAAGCCTTTACTTAAGGGAAAAGGAAAGCAAGTCATTTATGCTTCTAAACAAGCTCCAAGTTAAAAATAACCTTTTCCCTCCTCTTAAGATCAGCCTCCCAAGCAGCAAGCTCCTTTTATCTTTTCTTGGAATCCTGCCATTATCAATATCAATAAACTAAAGTAATCAGCCATCCCATGATTGTTCATCTTAAAGAAATGTAAAAGAAACAGAAACTTCATTACATCCATTGTATCCAGAGGTATATCTACAATAGCATCATGTTTCTGTCCAAAACCCAGAGGTTAAGATGCCAGTGGTCTTGCAGGAGCAATAACACCACCATTCTACAATGACTCTAAAATAAGTAACAATAAATAACACCAGTCTAATATATTTAAATTTAATGCACACCTAAAAAATTAAACACAACCAAGTACGACAAGAGCAACATCCTTACCAAGAGACATGAACCATGCCAAATAAATCATTAATTATCCAAATCACAGCACTTAACATGGCATAAACTATAAACGTGACTAGAGTGTATCAAGGTTATTACATAGATGATCTCTTGGTTAATAATGAAAAAAATAGACTCACATTTAGCTTATATTGAACTTATATGGTCCATAAATTTCCAAACAATATAACCAATTTATAACCTACAGTCAATATATGAAAAATAAGTATTAACATTTTAATATATATTACATTTTAAGGTTCAAAAATGAAATCCATCTAAAAAATTTACAAACTGAAAGTATCGACTGCCAAATCCTAAGTTTTTCATTAATTACAACAAAATGAAAAAAATACACAATCAGAAGCCCTTTTATCACCGAAATGTTAGCGAGCATTGTTCTTAGATCCAGTATTCTCGAAACATTATTCCCAAACCACCTCAAAAGTTAAGAAACCGACTACCGCACACTTAAAATAGAAAGAATCCAGATCTAAAATGAACAAAAGAGGAAAACTAGAAAATGAAAAGAGGAATGGAGTGCCGAAAATGGATTGACTTCTTCTTTATTGAAAGGGTTTGGATCGTGGTGGCGATTCATACTCTCTCTGTTTCAGATACAAAATTTTCTATAAATTTAGGTCGAGTTTTGTTCAGACTCGAGTGAGAGAGACATATGCGTGCGTGAACTGATCATAATTTATTTGTATGTTATCCATGTTGAACCTTTTTTCAATCTTTTTCTTCTCACCATCTAAGAGGGAAAAAGAGAGAAGAAGAAGCATATGCATACGTGAATTGATTATCTAGGAGACCATGACTAGAAACGGGAAAGGATGAAAATAATAGGGGAAAATTAAAATACGACTTTTATAGATGACACACAATTAAAAGTGTTTTACGTGTTTTGATAAATTTTTTCGATTATGACTATTAAATATGGAACACATTATTGTAAGTCATAAATCGTTTAGATTTTAAAAAAACATGATATTTTTTATGACACACATTTTTTGCAAGTCATAAATTAGCGTGTGTCATTGTTCGTGTGTCATTAAAGGTATATTTTCTTGTAGTGAATGATTCAAAAACTAATTAAATTAAGCTCAAATTAAAAATTCAACCAAATCAAATATATAAATATAAGCATTTAAGTTCAAACATCCAAACATCCATATCAAATTCAATCATTCAAACATCCAAACATCCAAAATAAAACAATCAAAAACATCCAAAATGTTTTAAAACAATTTTAGGATCCATTATGATTCAACCTAAGAAAACTAGCAAGCGAAGTTTAAGCATCCGTAGGAGGATCGGGAGGAGATAGATGTGCCCATATATTAGCCACATCTCGTGTAAGCGCATCGAGTCTATCATCCACAGTATTGAATCAATTATTCATTGCTCTGTGGTTAGCTCGAATCTCTCGTTGATTCTCCAATTGTTGAGTCCCATAGCAGTCAAGTGGGACTCTAATGATGCAAACCTCATATCCAATATTTCCATGAAAGAGCTAAAGTATGGAGGCATTGGATCCTCTTTCTGTGTTGGCTCATCCTTGGGTTCGTGATCGTCTATATCTTGAAATAGCTCTTGAAGTTCTGGATCATCGTCCACTGCCGGTACTGGAGGAGCTCGTGAAGAGCTAGCTCCCGATATTTTCTCAATAGATCGGACTCATTTGTCCTTTTCCTTCTTCCATCCCGATTTTTTAAAAGAAGTGAGATTTATATAGTTCTAGAGAGGGATAGGAATATCAAACGAAACCATAAGCCTGAGTTTGATAAACAAATTATTAAGGAGACAACTGTAAACTAAAGTTTCTACATTTTTGGATGGGATAATGTTTACGGTATCTACTAATTCACTGAAAATGATCTGTGGAAAATTTATTTTCTTGTTATGTTGGATACAATTTATCCACCATAAATCTATGAATCTAATAGAGGAGTACCTTCCTCCGGATGGTCTAAACCACCAAGAGATCATCAAGTGAAGGAATCGCTCGTTATGAGTTCTTAAGTTACTTACACAATCCTTAGCTATATAGGGTGTAGCCACGATCTCTTTTTCATTATCTAGACTCGCATTATCTAACCCAAAGGTGGAAGCAATTTTGTCGGAGTCAATATAAAGGAATTGACCTAGAAGATATGATCGAATTCCTATGGTTTCAGTTTGACGCTCGGTTTGGACACACATCGCATTAGAATAGAAAATGCGGACTAATTGGTGATAGATAATCGATTTAAGGTGAAAACGTTTATCAAATTTCCAAGATGTAAGGGTAAGAAGATATTGAAAATTTATATCAACCATTGCTGCATAGAGGGAATCCGCTATTCCCAGATTTTATATGACTCAAAACAATCATGATACCTATGGTAGAGATCTTGTCTATGACCAGGCACATTAAAACAGGAGTTTAGAATGGTCATATTTGGGTCGTTTGGATTTGAATTTTGAGGTGGAGGTGGAATAAGCCAGTTTTGACTCGAACGACTAGAGGGTGTCCTAGGGCGTTTAGACATGGCTAAAGATCAGAATGGGTAATGTTACCTGCAAATTTGAAACACATGTATGCAAGACAATCAATCCCAAAACTCAATATGAGTCCTCAATATTCAAGGTTCTCTAAACCGAATCCTAATTGGCAAAATTTTGAAAACTATTTTGAAAAACAATGTTTGAAAATCAACATATATAGTTTTCAAAAACAACATAATTAAATCAAAAACATCAAATTTTAAAATCAAAACAAAATTTATTTTTATTTCAAAAATTTAAAATTTTTGAAAAATCTTGTGTTTTTTGATGAAATTAGTTGTAGAATCTGGTTTATAAACATTATATAATCAATGCATGATATATAGTTCAACCTAGAACTAATCAAAACTAGTCCTAAGTTCAAAAATCAATAAAACAGAGGTTTTAGAAAATTACCTTGAAAAATTTCGGATTGAGTGGAATGTAGTGATGTTTGCATGTTTTTAATGATCGTAGCAGGATTGTACGTTGAAAACTAATTCAATTCCGACTTGTATCATTGAAAAAGAGAAAAGTTTGAGAGTAGGGGTGATTTGAGAGCAAACGACGTAGTGTTTAGGTTTTAGGAGTTTTGAGAAAATGAAGAATTTTTAGGGATTTAAGCCTAAAACCCGACGAGTGTATTGATGCACTGCATAGTGTATCGATGCACATTCAAGGCATGCATCGGTACATCTTCAAGTGTATCGATGCATATTCAAGGGATGCATCGGTACACTTTTATAGTGTATCGATGCATAGTGTACAAAATGTTAAAATCCATTTTTAAACACTCAAAATGCTAAATTAATTAGCTCCAGTGGTATTGGCAACTCAAAGATCGAAAATTAACAATGTTCAATCAAATAAGACTATCCTTAAGTTTGAACATACAATTAATTTTCACTAAAGATTATAAAATCCCCCAACTATTAGCAAAGAATGCAATCAAAAATATTATTTTATAATCATTTTTCAAAACTAATTAAAAGTGCTAAAATTATTTTAAACACTAAGTCAAGGTAGGTTTGTTAAACCTAATTCTCTTCTAAGTGTCCAAAATCTTTCTTTATCTAAAGGTTTTGTAAAAATATCCGCTAATTAATGCAAAGTATCAACATATTCTAGAACTACTTCTCCTTTAGTGACATGATATCTAATTAAATGATGTCTAATTTCAATGTGCTTAGTTCTAGAGTGTTGGATGGGATTTTTAGTGAGACCAATAGCACTAGTATTGTCACACTTGATAGGTATGGTATTAACTTCAATTCCATAATCTAAAAGTTGTTGTTTCATCCATAAAACTTGTGCACAACAACTTTCGGCTGAAATGTATTATGCTTCAGTGGTAGATAATGCAACATACTTTTGCTTCTTTGAAAACCATGAAATCAGCATATTTCCTAGGAATTGAGAAGTACTGGAGGTGCTTTTCCTGTCTATTTTGCATCCTGCATAATCCGCATCAGAGAATGCATGCAAGCTAAAGCTAGAGTCTCTAGGATACCAAAGTCCTAAACTATGAGTGTCCTTAAGGTATCTAAAGATTCTCTTAACGGCTAGTAGATGTGATTCCTTGGGCATGATTGAAATCTAGCACATAAGAAAACACTAAACATTATGTCCAGTCTACTTACGGTTAGATATAGCAAAGAACCAATCATTGACCTATATAATTTAACATCCACACATTTACCTCCTTCATCTTTGTTAAGCTTTGTTGATGAGCTCATTGGAGTGCCATGGGGTTTTCCATTTTCTAGTCCAAACTTCTTGAGCATATCCTTGTTGTACTTTGCTTGATTGATGAAGATGTCATATTTTCTTTGCTTGATTTAGAGTCCCAAGAAAAATGAGAGCTCCCCCATCACACTCATCTCGAATTCACTCTGCATTAGCTTAGAAAATTCTTGGCAAAGAGCATCATTAGTAGAACAAAATATTATATCATCAACATAAATTTGAACTACTAGTAAATCTTTACCTTTATGCTTTAAAATAATGTAGTGTCAACCTTCCCTTTTGAAAAACCTTTTTCAATTAAAAAATTTGACAATCTTTCATACCAAGCTCTAAGAGCTTGCTTTAAACCATAAAGTGATTTGGTTAATTTAAAAACATGATCAGGAAATTTTGAATCTTCAAAACCTGGAGGTTGTTCCACATACACTTATTCTTTTATAAAATCATTTAAAAATGTACTTTTAACATCCATTTGATATAATTTAAATTCATTGAAACATAAAAATGTTAATAACATTCTAATTGATTTCGTCCTAGCTACAGGAGCGTATGTTTCATCATAGTTTATGCCCTCTTCTTGAGTATAACCTTGAGCAACAAGTCTAGCCTTGCTACTC